CCGTCCCTTAGCCTACATTACAACCTATAAAGACCTCTTGATCTTTGACTGAATGACTCGATTAGTAGAGTATTACACTAGGGGCAAGCTTATGGTGTGTGTGTGTGGCATGTAAATGCTCTTTGCTGAGAGTGAGTGAATTCTTTCTATATATGGTTCATTGTTGTTGAATTTTATGTGTGTGGAACTTCTCTCAGATTTTGTTTATGTGAGGGCATGTGACTCAGGAAGAAAAAGTGAGTCTTCACTTCTGTTAGAGTAATTAGAGTGAGCACAAGTGTGTCTTGGCATGAGAGTCTGCATTTGAGATATGATTGTGCACTGCTTAGGTCGATCATTGATAATAGCAGGTGTGACATAAATTGGGGCAATGCATTGAGCAGTTAGGCCTAGAAGTGTGGTTTAGTTTGCTCGAGGACGAGCAAAGGTTTAAGTGTGGGGTGTTGATAATAGGTGAATTTGACTATAATCACACCTTAAATAATCACCTTCTTGTGTAGTTTTAATGCTAAAAGTGATGACAAAATGCTCTTATTAGTGCTTTTCATGATTTGTAGGTGATATATGTATAAGGAAGGCTAAGGAGCAGTTTTGGAGTTAAAAGTGATGAAAAAGAGGCCAACTGTGAAATTTCCCAAGTGAACCATGCAAAACAGGCCGAAGATTCAGAGTACTGGATCCACCGCGGTTCCACCGCCGCGGTAGAACCGCGGTGGGAGGCAGCTGCAGAACTTCAGAGATTCCGCGAGGGTGATTGGCCGCGGTTCTTCCGCGACCGCGGCAGAACCGCGGCAGGCGCGAAAACTTCAGGGGTCAAAGTGTCAAATACGGGATTTTTAGACCTAAACCCTATTTAAAACATTAGACTTCGCCCAAGAGAGGCATGTATTGATTTTTAAGGTTTCTTAGCAAGGAAAACCATTGTGAGAGAATACTCTAAACATCTTTCTTCTTTTCTTTTGATTTTTATGATGAATTCAATCTTAGTTTATTTTCCCATAGCCATGAGTAGCTAAATTCCTTGTCTAAGGTTTTGATGGAACCTATTGGGTGATGAACTTCTTGTTTATGTGAATACAAATTGCTAGTTTAATCTTTATTTGTTCAACTTCGTGTTCGTTGTAGTTAATTGACAGGATCCTCAATTAGCTGTGCCTATTTAGTGTGCATAACTTGGAAAAGAGTGCATATTTAGGGTATTGTTGAACAACACCACTCCTAGATTATTAGAGGAATCTATAATTGTGGGTTTAAAGGCGGGATTAGGAATAACGAAGCCTTGGGTGCAATCTAAATTGAATTATGCTAAATAAAGCAAGCTAGTGTATCTCGGGAGAGTGCAATAGTAGATTACTGTGATTACTCGGGAGAGATTTGCGGTAAGATTAGCGTTCATGATTGATAGAGATGTGTGGGTAAATTTGTATGAGCATAAACAGAAGGGATTCCATCAATAGGGGAAATCATTTCCTTAGCTCTTTCCCATAATTGTTTACAACCTTATTAATTTAGTTTACAGCTATTTAGTTACTTGCAAGCTAGTTTTTAAAGAACACTCAACTGAGATTTGAATATTTGGAAAGCTGGTTCAGAAGAATTAGTGGGTCTGAAGATAGTGGTTGATAGGTTAACTCTCTGTGGATTCGACCCTGGGCGTAATACTCGGGTTATATTTGCAACGTCCGTAGAGTCCTTTTTAGAGGGCATAGTTGGGCGTGATCAGTGGTTTACTCAATACTCTATATTTCCTGATAAACCTTCTATAATACCTTGCAAGTCCCAAAAACCCTCTCAACTGTTTGTGTGTAATAGGAGTTGGCTAATTTTGAACTGCTAACACCTTTTTGGCCACCCCTTTTGAAGAGATATAGTATTCCACAATGATAAAACACACTTAGATTTCCTAGCATATAGATGATGTTGCCTCAACAGGATCGATGAATGTGCTTCTGAGGTGTTCTGCATGTTCCTTGAGATCCTTGCTAAATATCATCATAGAATAGCAAAATAAACTTCCTCAACTGCTGTTGTAAAACTTGATTCATTACACTCTGGAAACTAGAAGAAGCATTAGTCAAATCAAAAGGCATGACTAGATATTAGAATAAGTCTTGAATGCAGTTTTCGATATATCAGGAGGGGACATCCTGACCTGATCATAATCGGACCTTAAACAAATCTTGGAAAACACTTGAGAGCCTCCTATTTCATCCAACAACTCCTCGATAATAGGGATAAGGAACTTGTCTTTTATAGTTATCTGATTCAAAGCCCTTTAATCGACAACACATTCTTCAACTACCATTCTTTTTCCCAACAAGAACTACTGGAGAAGCAAAGGGGCTGCTTTTGTATTGGATCAGACCTTGATCTAACAATTATTGAACCATCCTCTTAATCATATCTTTTTGCATGGGTGAATACCTGTAAGGCCTGGTGTTTACTATTTGACACCCTTCTGCAATTGAATATGATGGTCGAAGGGACCTCTAAATGGAGGCAATATTTTAGGTTCACTAAACAATTCTTGAAATTCTTCTAAGACATGCTGAATTTCCTTATTCAGCTGATTCCCAATCAACTTTTATGCAGGATCTTCAGCCTTATATACCACTGGGCTGACCTTAATCATGAAAAAATGAGCATTGTTTCCACTAGTACTAGCCTAGTTCAAAGAGTCTGCCTCCACAACCTTAAGCTTAGGTTCCACCCCCAGAAGTTTGTACAACTTACCTTCATGATCAAATTACATTGTCAACCTCCTAAAATTGAAATGAATGTTACCAGATGACCTCCCAAGATACAGAGCCACTTCCCCCTCAACACCATATTTTTATTTCACAAAGGTAGTAGTAGGAAATCAGCTTTAAAAATAGTACCCCGCAATCCATTTCAAACATTTGTCCACTTGAATTAAATTACCATAAGATACCCCCAACATTCAAGGGAGGGTATAAGGTTTTTATTTTCCATCGAGCTACTATGTTGAAACTGTGAGTGGATCCACTGTCGATTAAGTTATTAAGACTTCTTTATTGACAATACCAGGGACCCTTAGAGTATGATAACCTCTAGTCCCATTCAGTGCTTGCAATTAAACATGACAGTTCTCTACCAATCCATGGTCTCCCCTCGCAACCACCACCTCCTCTTCAAGGCCTACACCTTCTTCCAATTCCAGCAAAACACCCGAGATCTATGCTTGCAAACATGGCCAGGCAAATACTTTTCAATACACACATAGCCTAGTACATTTGCTCTCTTTTCACTCAACTCTGCCTGAGTGACTCTCTTCCTTTTATGTTAGCCATTGTGTCCATCAATACAGAAGGTTCATGTTTTGGAAAGTGATTAGTTGGGTTTCTAGCAGTCCTGCGGTGAGTAGTAACATGACCAGAAGAAGACCCTTTAATTGTTCTCGATTGTTTAAGAAAAAATAGACTCCTACAATCTAGCAAGATGATAAGCCCGAGGAAGGGAAATATGGTCTATGGATCCTAACAATATCATTGATCTCAAATTTCAACCTCCACAAAAATACGTTAATGGCATGATTTGGATAAAGATGGAGCTTAGTCATGTTCCTATAAAAAGCCTCACGGAAATCAACCACACTCCCTATATGTTTTACCTTTAATAGTTCATACATAGGATCATCATACTCAGCCACAAAATTGTCTACTAAAGTAAACAAATACTCATCTCAAGAGGGCAGAGGAATATGACATATGCTTCTCATATAAGCCATATACTATTACAAAGCAAGGTCCTCCATATCATGGAAGCCACTCTAACTTTCTGATCAGAAAGGACCTCATCTAGAGAAAAGAATTGCTTTGCCTTGTACCACCAATCAGTAAAATTCTTGCCATTAAAATGAGCAAATTCAATTTTGGACAGTCGAGTGAGTAATGGGGAAGGATTAGATGACAAGTATGATGTTGAGATCCTGATAGAGGACTAACCATCGGAAGTCAAGAATGGTATTGGGGTAAGGAAACTAGTTCGTTATGGGTGTGGCATGTTCGAGTAAGTTGGGAAGGGAATTTAGGCTGTAAGATAAGGGTAATTTGTGAGCTGGAAAGGTAAGTTTGGTTATAGAAAGGTTGACTATACTGGGAGGTAAACGACATATGATTTGCAGGAATTGGGCTAGGGTTGAGTTGTGGCTGACTAGCAAGAGCTGGCCGAGGTAAAATCAGTACCGGAGGTTTAGAATTTATTGTCGACGGAGCTTTTTAGATCTAGTAATATGGGATTTAATAAACGAACTAGACTGGGTAAAGATGACGAAGAACTGCTATGGATAGAATTGTGAGTAACGATACTTGAGAGCTGATGAGGTCCCTCGGTCGAAGAATACAGCTTTTGGCCTCTGTCGTCTATGGTCACTGACTCTTTAGGTTTAACCAGTTGCTCTCCATATATAGAGTTTTTAAGCTCACGGAATGATTTCTCAAGGACCGGTTCGAGTTGGTCCTGCCTCACTTCGAATTTGACTATGTCAATAGCTATTCGATCCAAACGATTGAGAACTTATGAGACATCAAAAGCCATCTATGAGCGTTCCCGCAATACAAAGATGGAAGCTCTGATACCACTGATGAATTTTGCAGGAGAATTTCTAAGGTGCAATGCGTGTCACTCAGAAAGAGAATCATGTTCTGTAGTGAATCTCTATATTTGCTACTCAGCAGAATAGAAAGAAGAAAGAGAAAAGAATAAAACATAACTTGCATGACAATGATGACATTGTCCTCATTCTTCAGCTTGCCGTTTTCTTAATTTCTCTCTCCAAAACCTATACATACATATCGATATCTATATTCCTTTTTCTCTCTCTATGACGTATACATATAGCTATAGAAAGGGTGAATCATGCCATAGGCTTTTATAGTACTTGGAGCTAGCTAGAGAGAGAAAGTTTTTCATTATTGAGAGAGAAAGATAGTGTCAGGGAATGAGATCATCAACGGCGGCGCAGAGCAGCAGCAGCAGCTATGATTTTCTTTAAAATCTTATTGATCGGTGATTCAGGAGTTGGCAAGAGCAGCTTGCTCCTTAGTTTCATTTCTAATGCTATTGACGATATTACCCCTACCATAGGTATTCTTCTTCATTAACTTATGAAACATTACACAATTACTATTACTACTACGTCTCAATCCAAGCTAGTTAGGGTTGCCTGAATGAATTTTTTCAAATGAGCATTGCTCAGTTTAAGCTTGTCTCAATTCAATGTTCAATGATTTAGGTGAATTACCATATGTTTTGACGTATCAATTTATTATATCTATTATAAACATAAAGTTTCAATTAGTTTATATATAAGTTTTAGCTCTAGGTGTCTAAACTTGTGAAATTTTAATTTTGTCTAACTTCATGATTTGAGCTTTTCTTAGATTTTGGATTATACGATCTTCAGTTATCAACTGTGCATTAAAGCTCAGCGTTTGAATTCGGAGGGAATTGAGTTGTTTAAATTTGTGTGCAAGTGGTTTTTTTACATCATTAATCTTCAGATTACACCGTTTTCGTTCATAATTTTAATCCCAATGATTCATTAGCTCCCTGGTTTTAGAATAGCCACCTCGCTTTAAGGAGCTAATTTTCATTTTCTGTGAGCTCAATTGTAATATCCTTGCACTATCTTATTGCATCTATGAACCTTTTGTTGGCAGAGATATCAAAGCCATTCTACTACATGCATGATGTGTGGAACACAAAGCTAACTTTTTCTCTTAAGGTGGACTAGAAACCAATCTTCTCCACTTAAATGCCTCAAAATCTTCTCCTAATATTGTCCTGTGATTCAATAGGAAGGCGCTTCGTTGTCTTCAATGGTATGGAAGAATTAATGCATTTTTGAATTCAAGTTACATTTGATGACTAATTCAAGTTATCTGTTTCTAGACATTTAAGTTTGATATCACCTGTCATGATATCTGGATTACCTATGATCAAATTAAGAACCAATTGCTGCTTTTTGTATTGAAGGATGTTAGACAGTGGAATCATATGCTTATTTTGGTAATACAGGTTTTCCTGTAATTTACTAATAAGATTGTTTGTGAACCTACTGAATTGATCTTCTACCTATACTCATGGTACACAAAAGGCTGTAACAGTTTTGGATTTTGAAATAAGGTTATTATATTAATATATACTGCAAAACTGGAATCACTCTGCCATAATGCTCTGCTTTGATGTCAAGAATGTTAGAGTAACTTGTATGGAAATTGATGAAAGCAGTTATCATGGACAAAAGTTCTGTCATTGTTATACTCCAACATAATAACCTAAATTGTTGCATCATCTCTTCCTCAGCAACATGTTGGACTTTAAGCCATTGGGCTTTAAAGTAGAAGAAGTGTGAATTGGAAATGGAGGGAAATAAAATGGAGGGAAATTGAAAATTTGAAGAAGTGAACTTTTGTCTTGCACTTTGTCCCTCATTGGTGAGGAACAACCACATTTGTGTGCTTATATATAGAATCACTTCTTAAAGCTCTTAAAAGGAGTTGAAGAGAATGAACCCTTGCGCCGCCGTCGTCGCTCGCTCGGCTCGGATTTGGATTTGGATTTGGAAATCGATCGATAAGATTATTTTTGGACAAGATTTATTTAATTATTTAATAATTAAATAAATGCCAAATCACTGCTGAAAATACGCCAGAACCCTGCTGAAGGTTCAGAGGGCCTCTCTGGCCGCGGTTCTGCCGCGAGGTTCAGAAAGCCTCTCTGACCGCGGTTCTGCCGCGACCGCGGTAGAACCGCGGCAGGCAGCGTATTCTTCTGGAAAGACACCTTTTCCAGACACCTCTTCTGATAATTGCCTATAAATTCTGAGGCAAGGCTCCATTTTCTACACACGAAAAACACTCTAGAACTTCTTTCTTTCTGAATATACTGCATCCTAATTCGCAGTCTCTCTCTCTCAAATTCGTAAGTGCGATTTTGCTCCGTTCTTTGAGTTCGTTGGTATCCTGCAGTTTGTATTGCCACTGTTGCAGGAAGGTTTATTCCGTTTTATCCTGGGAGGATTTAATCCATTACCTTGGCAACGTGTGAGGGGGGTTAAAATTCCTTAAGAACACACAAGAAAATTGTGGACTCGGAATATTTCTTAAACTCTTCTGTTTTTCCAGTTTCTTTTATTTTTCTAACAGTTTTTCCTGATTGTTGGTTTAACACAGTAACGTTCACAAGCTTAAGGAATTTTATACTAACGTTTCCGTGTTGAAACATATATTAAACTGTTATTCATATTTTGTATACTGTTTTGGAGACTAAAGCCTTGTTGCTTTCTACTCCAATAATTCTTTCTGTCCGGTTTAAAGTACATAAAAACTTTGCCGGAATAATAAACGTACGGGTTTGAAGTATATAAAAACTTCACCATTGTTACTGTGAGCATGTGATTTTTGCCTTGCACGAATTACTCCTACAGATTTCTTTAATTTATGATTTTTTTTTTCTTTTAATTGTTTAATTTGTAAGAATTAATTGCACAATTTTCGTGTTTATTTGCATTTTTACTGTGAGCATTTTAGTTGACATAATTCATAGAAAATAGTACAAAAATTCGCATTGCTTTTGCATTTATGATTTTATCTTATTAATTAGTAATTAGGATTTCACAAATATATATATAAAATCACAAAAAATGAGTTATTTTTGCTTTGTTTAATTTGTAACTTTGATTTTGGTTAGATTTCTTTTAAATTTGGTATTTAATTAATTTTATCAATTATTAAATAGATTGGGTAGGTTAATTTAGTTTTAGAATTAATTTAGATTTTTAAGCTTTAATTTGAAAAGAAAAAGAAAACAAAATCAAAAGAAATTGAGTCTTTTACTTTAAAAGGCCCAAATGTTGGGCCAGTCTCTGATCTAACTCCCCAGGCCCAAAGAAAACCCGGTCAAAATACCCAAGTCCGGCCCAAAACCCATCCCGCTAACCCAGTCCAGCCCCCCCATCAACCAAACGACGTCGTTTCATCCAAAATAATCAGGACCGTCGAGGTAAGGAGATCCAACGGCCCTGAAGTGGGATATCATAAGTATAAAGCTGTCCGAACCAACCCCCCCACCCCCTCATCTCTCTCTCTCTTCAAACCCTAGAGACCGCCTGTCTCCGCCCTGAGCCACCGTCTGCCGCCGCCGGAAATCGCCCACGGCGGCGGCGATTCTCCAATGATACCCAAAATCACACCAGAACCCCTTCTTCCCCCCTTGTCACGAATCCACCACGATCTTCCTTCAAATCCCACCGGAGCCTTTCAAAACTTCAAAACCCTAACGCCGCCACAGTTTCGCCGGTGGCGGCGCCGCCTCCAAACCCCCTCGAAACAACACCCCATAGTCCCCATGCCTCCCTCATGCCTAATCTGTCATTGGCTTCCTTTGGCCCAGAATTCTTCAAATATTAAATCCGAGACTTGAGCCTTAGGAGTCCAAAATTGGATCTATGCATACAAGGTCACTCTTCTGCATTTCCTCGTTTGTTCAAGCCTGTTGTGACACAAAAGAATGGCACTCGTTTGGCATGGTTTTAGGTCAAATCAGAGTACTAGTTTCGATTCCGAGCTTAGCCGGTGAGTCCCTTTCATGTTTTGTTTTTTTTTCTCTTCTTTTGTTCTCTTTTTCTTCTTTTTTTGTTTGTGATTCCCTTTCGTTCTGCTTCCCTATTTGGTTAAGATCATTTCCATCGAGATTAGGTCAAGGTCCTGAACCCAGGACCTCTTTTCTTAGTGCTCACTTTTCCTTTAGAATTTGTTATCTGATTTTATAAGTTTATTTAGTTTTGTTAATAGCATGTTAAATCTTTGATTTCTTGTTCTGGTCACATAGGTTAATTTGATTAGGTTTATTTTGATAGTTCAATTAGTCCCCTATTTGTTGGTAATCGTTTGATTAATCAATTTGTTTGGATCCTTTTAGTTTTCTGAATTTGTCTTGGTTTTACTGTGCCATTTGGGCTTTGAGGTCATTACGGATCACATTTTTAGGGAATCTTGCTTGGCCCGAACTTGAGGCCATATCTTTTGAGACATTGAACCCATTTAGGATCCAATAACCCGCACCCACTGGACCCAGGTCGGTCCTTAGTGTAAATACAGGGTGTTTAAGGGGTAACTTGGGTAATGCACTGAGAGAATCTCTCAAGTAACTGCCCAAGGGGCTTCCTAGAAACTTCTAGTAGGGGTTTGCTAGTAAATTGTAGGTCTAACTTGACCAACAAGTCATAAATTAAAGGACTAAAGTGTAAAAAATAAAGTCTGAAGTTGCCCTAGTAACTTGCCTATAAAGGCATTGTTACTTGGAGTACAATACGGATTTTTAGGCATTGAAAACTCTGAAATTTGAGGCGGCTGAATCCTGAAAATTTACTGTTCTATTGAATTTTTTGGGTGAATTGGAAATTTCCAAGTCTTAAATCACAACTCTAGCTCACTGGAGGTTGAATATGGACCAGCTTTCCTTGTGCTTTCAGTNCCGAAACGAAAACCGAGGATCTCCGGGGCACAAAAAACCGTGGAGCTTTTTCTTTTCCCAAATCCCGGAACAAAAACCGAGGATCTCCCGGCCAAAAACCGTGGAGCTTTTTCTTTCCAAATCCCGGACAAAAAACCGAGGATCTCCCGGCACAAAAACCGTGGAGCCTTTTTCTTTCCAAATCCCGGCCAAAAAACCGAGGATCTCCCGGCCAAAAAATCGTGGATATTTTCTTTCCAAATCCCGGCCAAAAAACCGAGGATCTCCCGGCCAAAAACCGCGGAGCTTTTTCTTTCCAAATCCCGGCCAAAAACCGAGGATCTCCCGGCCAAAAAACCGAGGAGCTTTTTCTTTCCAAATCCCGGCCAAAAACCGAGGATCTCTCTACACATTCCTGATTTGATTGCTTAGATATGTGTCACAACTAACTCACGAAATTTTCCTAGTGAAAACTGGGGCAGAAAATTTCGTTCGTTTGGTTTGTTTTGGTATCTTAAGCATGCCAACCTCAAAACGCCAGGTGTGAAATGACCAATGGAATGAATCTCAGTGCAGAATCAAGAAAAGTAGAAAAGAACGAAAGATGATGAATTCAAATGTGAAGCAAG